CGCAGACACTTTTTTCTTTGCTTTCCATGAACTCTTCAGCTGAACTCACTGCGCTGTTCCCCGTCACCCCTGTGCTCCCTCTCGGTGCCAGCTCCGAGATACTGTGTTCAGCTCCTGTATCTGGTGAAAACAAATCACTTGTAGCTTCAGCTGAGTCCCATTCCTCTCCCACTTTTTCTGTTCTCTCTTTGCTTGCATTCGCTGTCTGGAGATGCTCCTCAGACCCCACCCTACATCCTCTTGTGCAGCCCCTGGCACTGCTCTGTAAAGCTGGGATGGCCTCTTTGGGGCTGAAACTGGAAATACTTCATCCCTGCACTGCTGGCACTTGCCAGCACCAGTCTCTTCCTTAGATATCCATCTTCACTGCTTTGCTGGGCCCTGGGGACCTAGAGGACCTGCCAGTGCTGGGGTTTCCATGGGGTGCAGCTGCTGGTGGTACCATGATCTCCTATCTGTGCACATCGTGGCATTTCCTGTGGTGGCACCAGCAGCAGAAGCCCCTGCTGCTGTGTGGGAAATGGTCCCGGTGCCCTGTGGCACTGCTGGGGCTGCTCCCTCTCCTGTCCACCATTTCTGCGCTCCTGCAGCTCCTGCTCTCCTTGGTCAGCCCCGTGCTTCCCAGCGGCTGGAGCTGGGCGGAGCGCACGGGGGAAGGCTCTCGTGCCTATACGAGGAGAGATCCACCTTGTCAAGGTTTGTGCAGCATCGAAGGGAGGTGGTTGTGCAGTGGGGAAAGGAGGATAAGGAGAAGCAACTTTGCTCTAGACTTGAAGAGCGCTTAACTGCTCTGCTTGCAGGGCCACGGGCATTTCTGGGTCTTGGCTTCCTGAGCTTTGGGTCCTGTGTCGGAAAACTTCCCTCTCCACCTCAAATTGGGGAGGGTAGAGCATCCTGCTGGGACTGCCCACAGGGCTCTGTGGCCTGCAGGGAGGTTTTGGGGGATGCCCAAAGAAGAGACATGACCGGTACCTCTTCTGAAGCTGTGTTTTTTGGTTCAGTGTGTTTCTCAGGGCAGGGACGGGGCTGATGGTGCTGCTGTGAATCAAGGTCATGTTTTTCTTTCTGGCCTACATAGCCAGGCACCAGGTCAGCAGTGAAAGGAAAATCAACAGGTGCCTGAGCAGCCACAGGGTAACTATTTGGTGGACAGAAAGGTCATGGGATGTTTTGTACTGTAGCTGTGAAGCACACGGGCAATGCTGTGGCAGGCTCAGCTGGTGAGACTGGCAGGTCATACTGGTCCTCAGCGATGCTCACTGGGGCGGGTGGTCCAGCTGGGAGAGACCTGGGCACGTGCTGGCCAGAGGCTGCTGGTCCCACTGGTGCTGGTACCGCACTGTGCTGGTCCCACTTGGCATGGGACTGCCATCAGTGTTTTATGAGCCGTAACAATCAGTGAACGCTCACTCTAAAACACCCATTTATAACCCTCCAGGAAGTCTGAAGGTGCTGAGCGCTGCTGGGACAGTCCCACATCAGTCCAATCCCCTTGGTCCCAAGCGGCAGAGTGCGACCCAGCTCCGAGACATGAGGAGCAGCAGGTGCTGGGATGGCTGCAGTTTGGGAGCTCTGTTGTACTTTGAGCTCTGCTCTTGGCTTCCAGAGAAGCTGATGATGTCCTGGGGCGTCTTTCTGTACGCCCCACTCCTGCCCTCCATCACCTGGGGCTCGCCCTGGGCACTGCAGCACCTGAAGGTCACATCCTTCTCATCCCCCAGCCCTGCTGCGGGTCTAGCCTTGATCCCAGTAGAAAGAACATCTGTGGAAGGCTCAGTGCCGTGCTGGAGGACACAGCAATAACTTGTCACACAAGCAGAGAGGGATTTTCAGCGGGGCAGCCTAGCACCCAGCTCACAGCCACAGTGGGCAGCGAGCAGGCAGCTCTACCTCCTTCCCTTTAGTCTCATGTGATTGCAGCATGGGAGCAATTGTTTCTGGACTTGGCCTGGAAGAAGACCAAGTTGTGCTTTTGTTGCTTTCCCATGTTTACTTGATAGTTTTCGC